GCAGACCACACACCTGCGCTTCCCACCCGCTCCGACCCCCGCCCCTCGCCCCTGCATCCAGATTCACTGGCCAGGTTTGGCATTGGGAAGGGGCTCTGTGCCAAGGGCCCTGGACTTGACATCAGTAATTTTTCAGGTGGAGGAACAGCGGGAGAAGGGTCTGCTGCTTGCCAGCTGTGTGACCTTGAATAGTCACTTCAACTCCCAGAGCCTCAAATTCTCAAGTTTGTTGTAAGGAATAAATGAGAGGAAAAAAGAATTTTTAAACAGTTGCTACCATTTCTCAAGCACTATGGGCCACAACTGTGTTGAGCGTTTTATCTATATCATATAATTTTCACAATAACCCCAGAATAGGGAGTTAAATGGCACTGCTTCTTAGTCATTATTGGAATGGTCAGCAATGCCTGGGTTAGGCATGTTGCTGCCTGTTGGGATAGGAATATCTTTAACACGAGTTAGAGAGCTCTGAAGTTATTCCTAGAAAGATGAGAGACCCTGGGATCAATATTGTCAAGATTTGGGACAGGCTTTCCCAGGAGTCTGACATTCTTTTTATTCCCATGCAAAGGAGCCAGAGCTAGTATTGCACATTTTATCGGTAGATGAGGTCACCAAGGGATGAATGTGGGAAACAGAGGGTCTTGCTGATTATTATGGTCAAATTTCTCTAGAGGAAACGCCACAGAGAAGAATGTCAGATGCAGAGGGAAACCCACTAGAAGAAGCAGAAGATGGAGAGACAGAAATGAAAGAAGAAGAAGATCCAGATTATTCTGAAGAGGAAGAAAATGTACCACAGAAATCAGAGGATGACCTATTACCATGGAGAGAGACTCAGGAGGAGAAAAAGGCGGAGGAGGAAGGGGAAGGAAACCTGGAGGAGGAGGAAGGGGAAGGAAACCTGAAGGAGGAGGAAGGGGAAGGAAATCTGAAGGAGGAGGAAGGGGAAGGAACAGAGGAAAAGGCTGAAGCAGCACTGGCCGAGATGGTTTCAGGATCCCAGGAAGAAATCACAAGGGCGTCCCAACAAATCACCATGGCCATGATCAGTTTGGAGGGACTCGCATCCACTGATTCCCAGTCGCTCACGTCAGAAAATTCTCCAGTAAGTAGTAATCGTCATTCATTCATTCATTCATTCATAACCATTCATTGAATATTTACTATATGCCAGGCTATGGGGATACAAAACCAAGTAAGACACAGTTCATTTTTCATTCTCTTGGGTTCTAGGGTGTGTAGGGAGCCAGACCCACAACCGAACATTATAAAACAATGTGCTAAGTGCCGAGATTGAGAGGTGTCTAGGAGATACTTTTCAAACAAGGACAAATTAACACAGTTTGAGAGCTTCCTGGAGGAGGAGCTGACTTTAAAGGGCTGGTCGGGGTTAGCTGGTCGGTGTGCTGTCAGTGTGATAACAGTAACATAAACTCCCCAGAGACCCTCCCTGTAGGAGAGACTCGGCTCTGGTCCTGGAGACCTGACTCTCTGGCTAGTCGGCCATTTGGAGGCCACCAGGAGAATGACTGTGCTGTTGCGGGGTGCTGGCAGGCCAGGGGTACACCGGCCACACCCACGATTCATGTTATTTGAACACCAAGATGCCCAGGCTCCTTTTAAAAACACTTCCTAGTTCCAGGGTGAGGCTAGCACTGAGCCTGGCTGACTTAGGAAAAGGAAGGGAAATCAGTGAGGACGTGTCGTATTTGGAATCACAATCTCCTTTTATTTCTTTTTAAAGATAATTGGTAGGGAGTCAGAGCATTCATTGCAAACGGAGAGCTTGAGCACCCTGAGCTCACCCTCTGACTATGAGTTGGCGCTCACCAGTTCTGAAGAAAAACTGATAATTTCCCTTCAAAAGAAAATGGCCCGATTGTCCTCAGGGGAACTAGCCCAAGAAAGAGTTTCAGAACCAGTAAAGGAGGAAAAGAGACGAGAAAAAAAAGTATCCTACGTCGACAAGGGAAAAGAGGAAGAATTGCAGCCCATAGCCCACACCCCTGCGATGGACAAGGACTCGCTGGTGTCCACCAGCAGTAAGGACATTTTGTTTCAGAAGGACGACGGGGCCAAGGTGTATCCCTTGGTAAGTGTAGCACACTTCCATGTTTCCCCCCCGGTACTTTGAGAGTATTGTGAAAGAGGGGGGTTTTATGCACGTGGAAAAAAATACCACCAGAAAGATCCTTTAAACACTAATCACAGACTCTGTATTTTAAAGTCCAGTTCAGAGCTCTGGCTGGAGATGTGCACATGAAGGAGGGCTGCATCTGGTTCAACAGTGCTGCTCAGCAGGCAGGAAATTCTTGTGTCACTTGTCTGTGCACAGGGTGCTGTTTTTTTGGGGGGGGGCGGGGATTCAGAACCCATCTCTCCCTCTCCCCTCTCCTCCCCACTCCTTTCCTCTCTCTCTCTTTCCCCTCCCTCTCCCTCTCCCTCTCCCCTCCCTCTTCTTTTCTCTTTCTTCCTCCCTCCCTCATTCCCTCCCTCACAGTACAACTTCTCCATTCCATCAATTCCGTCTTTTAAAATTTTTATTGATTTTTTAGAGAGAGAGGAAGAGAGAAACATTGACTGTGAGAGTGACATATTTATTAGCTGCCTCCTGCACACCCCCTACTGAGGACTGAGCCCGAAACGCTGGCGTGTGTCCTGACCAGGAATCTAACCAGCAACCTTTCGGTGTATGGGATGACGCCCAACCAACCGAGCCACACCAGCCAGGGCATCGGTTCCTTCTGTTCCCCTCCTCTCCTCACCCCTCCTGCCTTCATTGGTTCCTGAGAACTGAAAGCCCCTGGGAAAGGCACCAGGCAGCCCAGGGGAACCTGCCTTCGCGGCCGCCGACAGTATTCCAGGAGGCACCATCTGCCAGGAGTAAAAATATTATCATTTACCCAGGGAAGGAGGAGAAGGGCTTTTCCCCCGCTTCTTTCTCCATCTGCTGGTTTCTGAAAATTGTTTCCTAGGATTCATCCCCCTCTCCCCCTTTTTCTTCTTTTCCCCTGTAGATTCATGGCTGTGGAAGATTTGTAAGTGATTGAGTGTGTATGAAGTACAGTGGGGCCTTGACTTACGAGTTTAATTCGTTCTGTGACGGAGCTCGTAATTCAAATTACTCGTATGTCAAATCAAAAAGTGAACGAGTGGCCCTAACCGGTTTGGCTCAGTGGATAGAGCGTCGGCCTGCGGACTGAAGGGTCCCAGGTTCGATTCCGGTCCGGGGCATGTACCTTGGTTGCGGGTGCATCCCCCGTGGGGAGTGTGCAGGAGGCAGCTGATCAATGTTTCTCTCTCATTGATGTTTCTAACTCTCTA